GTGTGTGTGTGTGTGTGTGTGTGTGTTGGATGGATGTCTCAAAGAAAAGTGGTCCTTGTGGGGGTGGGTAATGAGTAGAATGAGAACTGGAATTCATACAGTCTCAACATTAAACATACAGTGCTATGATTTTACCCAGTTCCCTATGTATGTCAATGATGTGGAACAAAGTTGTAACTCATTTTCTGTATATGTTTTTATATTACTTTTAGGTCTCCTAGTTTCTAACCAAGACATGAATGATTTATTCTGGTATGTTCTTCCTCAAGGGAGTCAACAAATTCTGTCTAAAAATGCAAGATTTCTCAGTTTAGCACATTTGAATTGGCTTTCATTTTGTGTAGTATGGTTTTGACAATCCAGTTAACATAATACAGTAAATTGGTAAGGAAATTTAGTGTGGTTCTTTTATTTACAATTAAATATGATCTGTTTTGGCCGTGGTTAGAAATTGTTGAGAGCATTGTCTTTGTAAGTATTTGACTTTTCTTGTTACAAAAAAGTCAAAGGAAATGTATTATCCTAGGAACATCCTAATGGTGGTGTAGTTTTTGATCTGGGAAGCATTCAAGTCCGATAAAGCATAACTTTATCTAATATAACTCTTAATTATGTCCCAGTTACTCCCTAACAGTGTCTTGAACCCTAGTTTAAAGAGAAAAAAACTGGTTCCCATGATTGGATAAAATAGACACATTGAGACTGTTCTTAATACTGAAACGCCAACTCAGTTTGAAAAGGAAGTTTAGTAGCAATCTTAATATTAATGTTATTTCTTAATATTAAGAAATATGGCACAGATTTTTAAGTCCCATTTAAAAAAAATTAGTCTCCTCTACATCTTTTTACAGTCTAATAAACCTTTGGTAGGTTTATATGCAATTACAATTTGGGATCATGGGGTAGATTCCAATAGAGATTGAAAATGCAGTGGTTGGGAGCTCTGGGATTTTTGTTGAGACCATCTCAGCAGAGATCATGGGTAGCAGATGACATCAGGGAGGGATAATATCTGAAAATTTTCCTTTCTAAGTTAAAGCCAATGCTCACTTACTTAGTTTTAAAGTGGTCAAAGATACTCATCATTTGGACATAACTTAAAAAAAAATTATTACAGTATTTTTACTTTCAGAAATCTCTTAAACTAGGAGATAAAGATACTTATTTTAGTTCATTTGTAAGTGAAAAAGGTAAATGTCAACACATTATTTCTTGTTTAAAAGCATATTTGGAATATCTGCATATTTTTTTGTAATGGAACTAGTGTTGTCATTGTTTAGGAATAATGCTTTATTTCTTCTGAAACTTCTAATTCCTAGCCAGTTTTCTTTATCAGTTAATGTGTAACGCAGATGCGTCATGCAACTTGTGAATGTTAGATAAAGGTATGTCACGTTCCAATAATATTCTGAAAGTTTCCTGGTTTAGATCAGACCTGGGAATTTATTTTTCTGTAATAATCTGTATAATATAAACTTAGATTATTTTTTGGTCAGTTTTAGCTCCTTTGCTGAATTTTCTTTCTGAAACAACAATTTAGATTCTCCACTTTCCATTGTGCTCCCTTCAATTGGAAGGGACAGTGATTCCCATATCACTACTTAATTTGAAGCCATCACTTACCATTGTTTTCTTGTCCTTTCCCTCATTTAACAGAGTTTTCACATTATCTTAAAGTTTTGGTCAACAGTATTAGCCTGTCCATCCATTCCATTTCTAGACCTTTTAAAATATATCATTGCCTTTGTAATTTTTTAGGCATTAGAGTTTTCCCGCTTATAGCGATTCAGCACTTACATACTAATTCTCCCATCATGTTATCTCTAACCTTTTTTCTTTCCTTTTAGCAACGAGGAAGTGTATAATGTATTCTTACTGTTCTTCAGATGGGAATTTCCACCATTTCCAAAGTTGGGTAACTGTGTGTGTGTGTGTATGCACATTTAGCATCTGAAAGAGGTTCACCTAGTAGTCACTTATTTCTTGAAGTAAAGGTAGCTAGCTATGCTGAGTATACCCTTTTTCTTTTCTGAAAGATAAAACTTAACACATTTTCAGAAATATGCCTGGAAAGCACTGATTCATTTTAGGTCCAGAACACCCCAGTGGCATAATGGGGTAAATTAAATTAATGGTATAAATTCAGAGCATTAAGGGGAGAGATACAAAATTATGTCTGGTGCAGTAAATTAACCAAGTGGTCCCCAAAATCTAAAGCGTATCACATGCACACAAAGCTGGTTAACATGCCGCCAGTGTCAGGGAGATGTATCTTATCTGGCTCCAGGGCATACTCACTTTCTCTTGTCTTCAAAATTCTACAGCAGATTTTCGTTGTTTTAATGGCTCAATGTTCCCCCTCAGTTGGGAGGTTTGTGTCTTGGGTATCTTTCTTTACCCTTACCTGGCTTAAGGTTTTTCACATAGCCAGTAAATATCCAGCAAATACTTGCATGTGTGAATGAATGAATGAGTGGATGAATGAATGTGTTATTAAAGGCTCCCTGTTGGCTCAGAGATCATGTCTCTGGCACAGTTATTTCATATTCCTTCTCAAAGTATCAGCTCTTAACAGGTAGAGATAATGCCTTTTAAACATGGGTATCATATATCATAATGCCAAAATGAAACTTATAAAAACTTTTACTCCTTTTTTTCCCAGTGTTTATTTGAAAAAAAAAGATTCTTTCTTAAAAGAATTAATACTTAAAAAATGTTATTGATAAAATAAATATTTTAATAAGCATTTCTGAAATCATTAATTTTTAAAAATCTAACAGTTTATTAAAGGACAGCTTATTCCACGTGAGAAACTATAAAGTAAACTGGTATTTTAAAAAAACATCTCAAAGTGGAAGGCATAAGAACCACTGATCAAAGCCAATCTCTCATTTTCCAAATTAAAATCTGAGGGCCACAATGGGGAGTGACCAAATCACTGAGGATAAGTAGCTAGGAACGGGCACACTGGGGCATAGAATTTAAAAGGTTTAAATCTATGAATATTTAAAATTCAGTTTTTCCTTCTCTTTCCTTTCCTACCTTCTCCCTCTTTCCCTCTTTCTTCCTTCTCACCACCTTCTCCCTTCTCTCTCCTTTTTTTTCTCCCCCTCCTCCTTTTAAATTTTTCTGTATTTTCTGTAGATACGTAAAGTGTATGCCGAATGTGTTTCATTAATACTGTCACATCTGGAACACAGTAGAATGAAAATAATGAATGACAAAATAATTTCAGAGATTTTCTGAAGTTATTTAAGGGATAATGGTTGATGTGAATGTTAATGAGTTAACATAGCTTCTATTTTATTTTTTAATTATAAACATTTCTTAGGTGTTAATTTTGATTCAGGAAATGAATTAAATAGTAAGTGAGCTACAGGAGGTCACACTCTTGCCTCAGTGTTTTCTCCTATCTAAAAAATGTATTTCTTTTCTGGTATACCCAGACCAAAGGGTCTAATGTTTAAAGGCTTGGATACTTTAAAATTAAACATATTAGGGAAATAAAGAAAGCCATAGGCCATGGTGTTTCTACAGTTCTTATCAGGCATAGAGAAGTTTTTATTGAGATAAATGAATTTTGCCTGAGTGACAGAAAACAATATGATACTCTACTGCTCATAAAGAAAGCAGTTATAGATACCATAAAATCTTCTTGAATCCCTGTTTTCTAAGTATGGGAGCACATTTTAAAATGAACTACTCTGCTCTATAGGGGAAAAAATATACCTTATCACAGCTATGTTTGCAATTTCAGATAAAGCCACTGGAAGGTCCATTGGATTAATGTTTTTAACTGATGACATGTTTAGAGGTGTTTGGTGCTTCAAAACTGTAAAATTAG